TATATATATATATATATAGCTAGATAAATAGACAGATAGATAGATATATAGTACCTTGATAAAATTTCATCATTAAATAAATTAGATTTTCTTTGCATTGCCATAATGCAAATGTCAGAGGGACTGCTTATGTTCATGTGTCACTCCTACATAAAGTCTATATATTTCTTTTCCTGGGAATGAAGTACCTCTCCGGCTGCTGCATCCTGGCCTCTTCGACATCCGGTGGACCGATGAATTCCCGCCAGGCTGGGATGACGTCCTCACAACCCTCCGTCTTAGAAATGACCAGCACATGCGACGGGCCGCTCGACATAAATTGGATGAGCTCCTGAAAGTAAGGCTGGAAGAACACACACAAACACACACACACGCTTCACATGACAACCTGGCATTCCGCCATTACACACCATCAGCAAAAATATTCACAAACACGTGCTATTTTTAGACTTTTTCTTCATTTTACCTCTGCGGCTTTGTGTTGATAGAAGTCTTGAGCTTCTGCTTCACTCAGCGTTCTCTCCTCATGGGCCAAAATCACAAAACCCGCATCCTGAATCTACAAACAAAACATGCATTCAGGAATAAATAGAGTTCAGCTGTCTATCCATGTGCAAAGGGTAAAATACCATATGAATATAAGCAACTTAAAAGGAGGCAAAAAAATGTAAGTTCTTCATCATTTATTCACCTTCATATTGTTGTGTAAATATTAACAGCATACACATTTCAAATGACTGACTGTGAAAATATATCATTTTTTTGGTTCATTTATCACTTAAACTGAGCTCTTACCTTCATGATAATCTCATCTGCTTTGCCGTGTGCCACCACATCCGGCTTTATTATAGCCACTGTGTTAGACTTATTAGCAGGACCTGAAAACACAAACCAGAGCAGGTCAATTCAGCCAACAGGGCAATTACAATTAAGAATGACATTTAATGAAGGAAAATCATTACCAATCACACCTTCATCATGTGGGTGATCCTTAAAGTCCTCATTCACCTCTTCTTCCTCAGTTAAACCTTCGTCTGTCACCTGGAGTGACATGAAAAATTCAAATCTCTTTCATGTTACTTGTTTAAAAAGTGCCTAACAATAAGTAATAATTATTTCTGATGTATAATATTTTAATGATAATATTACAATTTATAATTAAATTATATATTTTAAATAAATTATTAAATAAAAAATAAAAAAATAAAAAAAATATATATATATATAAACTATTACAAAGAGAGGTTTTTTGGATTTTTGAGCTGAAATCGTTAACCCCTACAGGACTGAATGAAGAGATGGATCTTGCATGTTTTTTGTAATAATATATATTTTTTTGTAATCACCTATTGATTGAGCTCAGCTGGTGACAATTTGTAATTGTGTTTAAAGTAGAGTGGTGTTGCTGTTTGTTCCATGAGCACTGAAGAAAGCATGAGCTGAAACGTCTGCTCTTTGGTCTGTTTTTAAGACACTTTTCACTTTTTTGCACTTTTGTCACCCTGTAGTAGTAATACTACTACTATAGATGTTAAATTAAAGTAATTATTGTGATAGACCCTTGCCTTGGTCTAACTGTATGTCTTTCAGTGTGCGGACATTTTCGTTTTTTTGGTTGATCAAATTTTTCTTGATTTACGCACCTGAGAACAGACTGGTTATCTTTTTGGAGCGCATACAATATATTTTTTGATAAATGAAATTATATAAAATTAAATAATTATAATTATATTTATTAAATGGTTTAAAAGATCCCTGACAATAAGTGATAATTATTTCTGATATATAATTTTTTTTAATATATATCAATTTATTATTCATTAATCAATCAATCAATTTTTAAAAAATTAAGATGAAACAGGATTTGAGATGGAATGATGGCCAATTAATTTTGTAATATAATAATTATTTAATACATTTTTTATTTTATTTTTTTATTTAATTCAATGTGTATTTTATATACATATATAAATTTGATTATATAATATGAATGCATTATTTAGCAAGCAGTAGTTTCGCTGATGTAGATTACACCTCATACTGGACTACTTTTCCATCGTTCCATCCCAAATCTTTTTTCATCCAGATTCAGGTGTCCTCTGTCATCCACACAGTAATGATGACGTGAGGAGTGTGGAGTAACTCACCGCCCTGCGTGCCGCCCCGTGTGCTAGGACGTTCTTCTCTTTGCTCAGCTCTTCCTGTATCACCCTCTGCAGGAGAGGAGTGTTTGGCCCCCGCAGAACAGACACCAGCTCCCCACCCTACAGCAGGACAACACCAAACAGATGAGGTGTGAACAGGAACACAGGAACATGTCACTTTGCACAACATCAGATATTTCAAAATTAAGCCTGTTTTCCATTGAAGCTTATTTCCACCACAGAATATTTATCTCAGAATTCTGATTTTTTTCTCTCACAGTTTACATCTCACAATTCTGTTTTGTTTTTTCACCATGGAATAAAAAACTAAAAAAGGTATTTGTGATATTTTATCTTACTATTCAAATTTTTTCTTGAAATTGCAAGTTTATATAAAAAGTCGTAATGACCTTTTAAAATTTTTTTTTTTTCCTTGGCTCAAATAAGCTTCCATAGTTTTAGGATCATTCATGCATTCATTCATGCATTCATTTATTCATGCATGCATGCATGCATGTTTTGTTTTTGCATTAATTCCATCACAATTAACCACAATTTTCCCCCAAATGCCAAATATTGCAATGCATCTGGATGTTTTGCTTTTAAATTTGTTTTTAAATAATTACATTATTTTAACTCTCATTAGATTCTCATTCCTCTAAAACAGTATTTTAATTATACCAGTATAAATTAATAGCAGTGCAACTGAAACCTGCATGATTTACAAATCCTTTACAATTTAAGTAATATATATTATTAGTTTTATCCCATCACAGTATTTGGGTAGTTTTGGGTATTTGGGTACCGTTTGCTTAATTGTATATAATTGTGTATTGTGCTAAATCATTCGAATGGTCCTAAAATAGGGTTCTTTGTCTATATGCAAAATATGTTTTCTTCTTTTGTTCATTTATTTTGGAGTGAAATTTCACTAATTTCCTGAACAGGTTTTGCGACATCCGCCCATGTAATTATTTGCTCATTTTAAATTAATATTCATTTTTAGGAACAGTAAGGATTGGGAAACACGCAGAGAGATGTATAATTTCAGACCCACCGCATAAAACAGAAAGGTGGGCTCACACTTCCCTCTGTACTTCTCCAGAGTTTCAATCCCATCAGCCTCAGCCTGCGTGACAGAAATGTCGACATTTAGAATGATTGTTTGTGTGCAATCTAATCTCCAGAGCGGCTTATCTTACTGTGGCAAAATGCAGCAGCTCGTCTCCCAGCTCATTCTTGATTTTTCTGAACAGACTGACGACGGCGCGGCAGGGTCCACACCACTTCTGGTACACGTCGACCACTGACACACACACACACACACACACACACAACAATCACTAAAAAAAAACTCAGACTGCATTTACAGACTTCTGCAGCTCTGCTTGACAAATAAGAAATCAGACAGACAGACCAGCAGAGAGTAATGAAGTATTTGAACATCTATGCTGCACAGTAAATATATGAGTTTCATTGTGTACGAAGCAGAATCTCAGTGTGATCGAACGCTGCTGATCTGTTCTCTTCACTCTTCTTCACTGTTTTTGTCAAAAGTTTTGATTGTGTGCTTGTGCATCTTTTTAAATAAATTATATAAATGCTTTTTGTTTTGTAATTCATAAACAGATAGACATAGATGGATAGATACAATAGATGGATGGATGGACGATAGATAGATACAGTGGACAGATAGATATAGACAGAGAGATGATTAGATAGACAGAGATAGATAAATAGAAAGGCATACAGATAGATAGATAGATAGATAGATGATTCGCTCACCTATTAACCCTTTCGTTGCCAAAATGTCACTCCATTGATCGTCAGTATTGATATTTACCTGCATGAAAAAGTTTTCAAGAGTTTTTAGGGATTTTACAGTTGGCACACAAAATAAACAAACTAGAAAACTGCAGTCAGACCCACTTTTCCATCATTTACAGTTTAATGCTGATTACAGGCACAGATACTGATTAAACTACAAACCTGTAAACTGATCTCCTTCTTTTTACCAGCCATGTGAATGCCTTTTTAAGAATAAAAAATAACGACACGTTTAGCTAATTACTCCAGTTAATGGTAATGCTGTGATCGCTAATTCGTTATGTTTCCTAAAAGTTTCAGCGCATGCGCAGCACGGATTGTTTTGCGTCCTCGTCGCTCAGCAACCGTTTATTAAGCGTTTCACCGCCGCCATCTGCTGGACGCTGCGGGTATTGCAGGTTGTTATTCTCACTGTTAAGTGACAGGTACACGTTCGTGTCACTATAAATATGTTCTCTGATGGTAGCAGATGGTAAAACCATGGTACTGAATGTATATGTGTTTATATTTATGTTATGTATTCCATGGTACTTCATGATACATGTCTAGAGTTTGTGATGTTAGTGGTGCATCGTTTCTCAAAGGCCTGCATTCCTCCATCATAAAGCTGCTCCAGGGAACAGATTCAACTTCAATAACAGCAAACGCTGCAGATTCCAGACATGTTAAACAACAGATATGTCTCATATTATATTTGGCGGGAAATACCTCATCATCTGGTTAGAATATATAAAGAAAAGGAGAGACGTTTAACACACAATACCAGGTCCAAGTCACATTTCACCCATAAATCAATGAAAAACATTATATATTATATTATATTATATTATATTATATTTGCATAAAGAAAATAAATTTTTAATCAATTTATTTTAAAACCTGTTTATTTTTTTTATTTTTTTAGAAATTATTTTCATGACATTTAACTACATTAAGTACATTTCCCCCCAAATTAGATTGTTTCTTCTATTGTCTCTTCACTGTTTCCCAGCTTAAATATTTAGGCCTAAATGTAACATTTATGTATTTGAATGACATATAAAACGTTCATCCATCTGGAATACACAGCATAAACAAATAAACGTTACTGACAAATATGTGATGCATATTTGTCAGTAACGAAACAGGTCAGATTTCTGCTCTCAAAAAAAAAGTTTATTATTAACTATTAACATACACTGTAAAAAAAAAAAAATAAAAAAAAAAGTGGTTGCCAGAACTTTACTGTAAAAAAATATGGTAGCAGTATTTTAGCTTTTACAGACTTAACTTAAATTTACAGTAAAAAACCTATTTCAATAATTGATCATGTTAATATAACAACCAACTGAATTATTAATTATTAATAAAATTAATATCTCTTTTGTACCATTGTAATGACAACCGCCAAAAACAGGTGGTAAAGGTCACATGATGAATCAAAGTTTATCACAAACAGCTTTTCAATCAAGTTGAGGAGAGAAATACATATATTTATAGACAGTGCACAGTGTCATTCACACAAATACTAAACACCAACATTCATGATACTCTAATAATGCAAGAAACGTTCATTTAACAACATTAGATGTGAAAAAACCTAATGTGCACAGCTAATGAGAGAAAACTAAGACGAAACATAGGTTTAAAAAAAAAAAGTGGGAATTCTGGGAATGTCAATTTACGTTTTTTCACTGTGAATTATACAATGGCTTTTTCTTTTTCACTTCCAAAAACCACAGTTTTAACAGTCTTTTACTGTAAAATTAAATCAAATGTAATTACAGTTATTCACCTATACAGAAACGTACTGCTAACCCAATTAACAGGTTTTTACTGTAGCATTTTTACCGTTTTTTTTTTTACTGTTAAAATCATGATAAATTTTTACAGTGTAGTTTATGATTTTTATCATTTTCAAAATCCATTAATTCAAATTGCTTAGAATCAGCATAAATAAATGAACATTACTTGGACACATTCACTTCTGATAACAGATCTAAATTGCAATGTAGACACGCGTGCATTTTCTGTAAAGCTGCTTTGAAATGAAATGAAACCAGAATAACAGCAAAATCCAGTATGCTTATATGCAGCAGATAGTGATTTTAAAGTAGTAGGCCACAAAAGGCTGTAGTGATTTTACCACGGCTGTCTCTCTTAAAACTTCCTGAACGGATGTAAATAAATCTGTTTTATAAAGCAAAATATGCTGCACCTCCTCTGATCAACACAGTTTAGAATTAAGCTGATTGTGCTTGTTTGTTGAGTTTATCTCTGAGCACTTCATGCTGAAACTCGTCGCCACTGCCCTGAGGAAATAACACGTTTTCCCATCCTTACAGGAGCTTCTTCAACAGGCACATGTTTGACTACTTGTGTCATCTGTGTCAAAACATGGATCACATCTTCAAAAGTTGCCGCAACTTCATGCTAATACATATACAACTAGATCATCTACTTGTATTTCTTTGACTATTCCTAGAAAGAAAACTACTTATGGTCATTCCGCTTTTGGATTTGCTGCCCCAAATGATTGGAATGTGCTACAAAAGCATTTGAAACAAGAGACAAATATTTCAGTCTGCACTGTAAAAAAAATTCCATAAAATTTACGGGGAAAAAAACAGCAGCTGTGGTTGCCGGAATTTTACTGTAAAAAATATGGTCGCAACGTTTTAGGTTTTACGGTTTTAACTTAAATTTACAGTTAAACCGCATATAGTAACGGTGAAATCGCATATATGGTTTCACCGTTAACCATTTAACAGGTTTTTACTGTAGCATTTTTACAGTCTTTTACCGTTAAATTCACGGTCATTTTTTTTACAGTGTGTGCATTAAAAAAAATTATTACACAAAATGTTTTAATTGAGGTGTTTTTCTCTCTCTCTCTCTCTCTTGTGTGTTTTGTACACGTATTGTAATGTATGTTTGTATGTCCTTCAGGAGACATTAACTCTCCTGCCAGGCTGTTATTGTAAATAAGAACCTGTTCTTAATGACTTGCCTGGTTAAATAAAGGTTAAAGGAAATTATGTTTGGAGAAAAAGTTGGATACAACTCTGACAGCCCAAAATATTTTCCTCATTTTAACAAATGTTTAATATTTAATGCACTCTGAACTACAGACAAATTGTATTTTCATGCACTGCATCATGGTCAATTTTGAGATTTGGATCTATTTTGATCCATAACATATCTTCTTTCGTACTACAGTGGGAAGAAAACATTCGAAATATACTTTTAAGTATTTATTTTTTATTGCACTTTATATGTTTGAGTCTAAGGCCGTTTCTCAAAATTATTTTTTTCTCCACTTCAGCAGGACTTACACCAAACTTTACAGTTTTATTCATATCAATATTCTGAATATTGTTGATATCTGAGTTTGTTGATATATCACTCGCCTGGTTTATATAACATTTTATTCCTATAAACAGCTATTTTTTGACATTATTTTCTGATTTATGAAGTGATAAAATATAATATGATATATAATATAATAATATTTAATATGTCAACAAAATCAAACAAGAATTCTGAACCTGGCTTTAAGCGATCTTCAGATTTCTGTTCAGGAATTGTATGTAAATTTGTGCATGTTTAATTAGATAATGCATTATTCACATATGCAAATGTAATATTTCAGAAAACGTGTAAAACAAAATAATTGTCTTACTATTTAACTGGGGAAATATGGTGATACCCTATATCAGTTAACACTGATGTCTTGCCTTAAAGGAGACATATTATGCCCCTTTTTACAATATGTAATATAAGTCTCTGGTGTCCCCAGAATTTGTCTGTGAAGTTTCAGCTCAAAATACCCCACAGATCATTTATTATAACATTTTGAAAATGCCTATTTTGAGTGGAAGCAGAAACACGCTGGTTTTTCGCACCTGTGAGATCCCTTTGCAAAGTCACCACAGGAGCGAAATCACTTGCAGAAAAAGGCTTCCCAAAACAAAGTTACTGTGTTAATCTTTTTCACGTTTCCTTGGTTGGTAGATGCACCAGGGACCTGATTATAGCACTTAAAACCTGGAAAAGTCAGATTTTCATGATATGTCACCTTTAAAGTGGGGAAAAATCTAATGAAAGACAGCTGGGAAATAAATGGCATGTTTATTTTAGATCTAAACAGTGTTCTGTGCTCGTCTGTGCAGACAAAGACAGAACAGTTAGCATGCTTTGCTCAAACTTTCGCCATGGCATTAGAGCTGGTGCACCATTGTCGCTTGCAAAATCAAAATGATGGCGCTGACGCACCGTGGGTGGAAATTTACAGATTAAGGGGCAGTAATATTATAATGAGATCCAGTGTTGCCAGATGTACGATAATTATCGTATTTGTACGATAATTTTGACCTCTGTACGATGTACGATCAATAAATCTGGCAACAGCAGGATTCTGATGACAGCGACTCAGAGGTGGAGTTTGGACCTTCCCACAAGGTACGCCTATGGCCCTATGATTTCCGCGATGTGGAAAACACAGATGAAATTGCGGAATCCAGTCAACGGAATTTACTGAATAACGCGGAATGTCAAGGAATTTGTCAAAGTTTGGATGACTTAATCAAAGGAAGGTCATTACACTTAAATCGTGATATGGACTAGTATCTGTAAATATTAAGCCGCAAAAAGGCTATTTAAATATAAATCCTGCATGTTTTATGTCTGTCTGAATCATAGTCTATGGTCTGAATGAATGTCACGCGGTTTTGTTTACTACACACATACTGAAGCGCGCGTGACGCTCGCGGTGATTTCAGCATCTGCCTTCTCACTAAATAGGCAATAAATACATGAACAACAATCTCCAGAACTGCTCTGAGAGTCAAAAATATATAGTTTCTGCCAGAAATGCTATTGTTCAGTAGTATGTACGTACAACTACTACTACTAAAATTATTAAGGAATAATCACAAAACCTGGAAAAGTCAGATTTTCATGATATGTCACCTTTAAAGTGGGGAAAAATCTAATGAAAGAAATTCAACAAAGCCTTTTTTAGTCAAAATCATAGGCTACTAGGGCACATAAATGTCTGCTGTTTAAAGAGTATGACTTTGGTGCCCATTTGACAACAGATCTAAGAAAAGATGCACAAAAACGTCCACATGTGAGCTGATCTAGTTTTAAGGCCCTTTTAGAAAGTCACATCGAGTCTGTGTGGATCCATGCAGGCAGCAGTGCGTGCTCCGGGACGTCAGTGAGGTTCGGCGACTATAAAAGCACGCGAGTGGGCGGATTTACTCACTGACTGACTGAGAGGCAAAGTGTTTGTGTTGCTGTTTTTGTGAGAAAACGTAACAATGGTGCAACTTTCTAAAAGCGGAGTGAGAGACACGCTGAAAGCTGGTCATCCTCCTGCAGGTTTGGACTTTCAGTTACATACGAAACTTTTAAAGTCTTTTAGTAAGGATTTCTTGTTTTGTTTGTGGTGTTGAGATTTATTGTTGCAGTTCAGCTTTAGTAGTTATGATGTATTTTAAGTGTTGCATATTGCATTACATGCTATTTATTTAGTTTCTGTACGTGTGTATGGTAGTGTGTTTTCAGTGAGAGGAAAACAAATATCCAGCCCTGGTTTTCTTACTAGGTGTCACAGGATGTGAGTTCAGAAGACTTTACTTTCAATTTCTGCTTCATACGATTCGTGCAAACCTTCCTTTAGTGTGCCATCACCGCAACAAACTAGTCAGCTGCCTATCTAGACGGCGATCTAGTGCTCGTCGAAGTCAAACTGATCAGGAATTTTGCAAGTATACGCTTTGCTTATTTAAGATTTAATGTAGTTGTTTTCAATCATGATTAAAAAAATACACATCTGTTCAAAGCCGTGTTATTTTAGTATCATTGATGTATGCAATTATAGTTTTATAAATTTGAATTAGTTTTTATTTCACTTTCATTTTAAACCGTTAACTTTGTGTGTGATTTGTTTGTCTTTTTTGACTAAACGAATATAATGAGCATAAAATGAGAAATGTTGGTAACTATTTATTTATTTATTTTTTAGTTTATTTTTTTTTTTTTTTAACTAAACAAAAATATAACGAGAATAAAATGAGAAATGCTGGCAGCTATTTATTTATTTATTTTAGTTTTCTTTAATTTGTACTTTTTTGGTTACAATATTTATTTTTTTTTTTTTTAAACTAAACATCTAATGAGAATAAAATGAGAAATGGTGGCAACTTTATTTATTTATTTTAGTTGACTACTTTTTTTCGGTAAGGAGTTTTTTTTTTAAAGAGCTATATTGGAAGGTTTTTTCAGTTTAATGTTGACTGTTCTAATGGATCTTGTGCGTCAACACTTTCCTGTTGAATTTTAAAGGAACACTCCACTATTTTTGAAAATGGGTTAAACAGAGAGTTAAACAGTTGAGTTTTACCGTTTTCGAATCCATTCAGCCGATCTCCGGGTCTGGTGGTAGCACTTTTAGCTGTAGCTTAGCATAGATCATTGAATCTGATTAGACCGTTAGCATCTCGCTCAAAAATGACCAAAGAGTTTCTATATTTTTCCTATTTAAAACTTGACTCTTCTGTAGTTACATCGTGTACTAAGACCGGTAGTGGACATCTACAGGGCTCCAGTCACAACACAAACTGGACTAGATTTGTGAGCTTGGACTTGTATAAGAAAAAAAGAGCTTACCCTTTGCTACTCTATAGAAATTAACTGGATAAAATGAGTGCAAAGTTGTAGAAAGTGTGTATGTTGTCTAGAATGAAGTGTGAAAATGCAAAGCATTTTATCTGCTCTTTAAAGAAGTTTGTATGACAGCTGATCACATTAATGAAAGTGAACAACTTTTTTTTTTTATTATTATCATTATCACAAGTACGTTTTATGGAGTTATTTAAAACTTTTTTTTATTTATTTATTTTTTTTTTATTTAATAAAATAACAAATGTAAGTACTTTTTTTTTTTTTTTTTTAAATATTCAAATATTTTAAAAGTAATTTAAATATATTTTTATTATCATTATTATTATAAAATGTGTTTTTGACCATTTTATAAAATGTTTATTTAATTTGTTGAATCTGTATCTGCCATTCAATAGCCTGTGAAGCTGATCGAGAATGAACACACTTTAACATTTTCTAACACTTTTTCACATTGGTGTGGCATTTTCCAAATGACTTCTACAGAAATGATATGTGAAGTTGTGCTTTTTCTTTAGTGAAAGCTGGAGGGAAAAGAGTGGTGAAGAAGAGTGCTGATGATAACGCCAATGTGGAGAAGGAGAGCAAGAAAGTGGATAAACCCAGGTACAGTATCTTTTGACCCGTCTGGACCCTTCACAACACGTGACACGGTTTTTAAATCTTCTCGTTCAATCTCTTTGTCAGTTTGTCAATATTTAATGAACATTTTTCATAGAGATTATAGAGATTCGAGATGGAATGCAGTGGTTTACTTAAACTGCTGACAGTGACATTCATATCGCCAGTGGCTTTCTTTTTTCTTCTCTTTAAATGTTGCATTCTGCTCTGCAACAACATATCAAACGTGATTTAAATGCAAAGTTTAATTTTTGTATTTATTTTGATTTATAAGTGATTTTAGTCGTGCTGCATATATCTAAAAAGTAATGAAGCAGAAATGTGTTGCTAATAATGCTTCATTGCTTTGTGTGAAATCAATCAATCATGCAATTGCATGCTGACGGTGATGTTCATATTGTCGCTTTTTTTTTTTTTTATGTTGCATTGTAGTCCCCACCAAAATATCAAAAGTGATAAAATGCAAAATTGATGCACTTTTTTCCAATCATTGTTTTTTATTTATCAGTGGTGGTTTTAGTCTTACTGCAGAAATCTAGTGATGAAGCATAAACGTGTTGCTAAAAATGCTTCATTGCTTTGCATGAAATCAATGAATCATGCAATTGCATGCTGATGGTGATGTTCATATTGTCGCTTTTTTTTTTTTTTTATGTTGCATTGTAGTCCCCACCAAAATATCAAAAGTGATAAAATGCAAAATTGATGCACTTTTTTCCAATCATTGTTTTTTATTTATCAGTGGTGGTTTTAGTCTTACTGCAGAAATCTAGTGATGAAGCATAAACGTGTTGCTAAAAATGCTTCATTGCTTTGCATGAAATCAATGAATCATGCAATTGCATGCTGATGGTGATGTTCATATTGTCGCTTTTTTTTTTCTTTTTTTGTTGCATTGAAGTCCTCCCCAAAATATCAAAAGTGATAAAATGCAAAGTTGATGCATTTCTTTTTTTTTCCCCATGCATTATTTTATTTATTTTGATTTTATTTATCAGAGGTGGTTTTAGTCTTACAGTGGAAATCTAGTGATGAAGCAGAAGCGTGTTGCTAAAAATGCTTCTGTGCTTTGCATGAAATAAATGAACCATGCAGTTGTATGCTGACAGTGATGTTATCATCAGTGGCTTTTTT